TATAAAAACAAAGAAAATATAAAAATATCACACAGGAAAATAATGTAGTCATAATGTATTGTGAGTTGAAACCCATCTTAAAGCAGCTCTCTGTTGAATTTGTTAAGTTTTCCTCCATGATTAAAGGTAACATGTTAGAAAAACAGGAATAAAAGCTGCTAGAAGACATTTAAAAATAGAGTCTCGGACGAAGTTCTCAACTTCCCGGTGGTTCCGGTGGAGGTTAGCCTCCAGGCTAAAACTGTCAAACAATTGTCCTCTTCCAGCTGCTCGAACTGCTTCAACTCACCTCGTTTGTTTTTCGTGCCGTTCTTTTTCGCCGTTAACAGCTCCTGTTCGATCTTCTTCTCCAGAAACTCCTGTTTCTTGGCCAACATCTCCTCGGTTTCCCTGAGTTTGTGGATCGCCTCCTGGGCTGTGGGCGCCTTCCCACTCTTGTTGCTGCCGAACATTTTCGCAAACAGCGACATCTTGTCAATAAATGTAAACAGCAGGGGATGTTCTTCCTCTCGGACACGACCCGGCGGCACTTGGTGAAAGTCAACAAGTCGCTGATGGACGACTCGGGGGTATTTTCTTGGTAACTATCGCCGCCGCTGCTGCTGCTGTTGTTTTTCTCTCTTCTTCCGCCTTTTCCGCAGAGGCCTCGTGATGTCATTACGTCAGCGCGTCAACGTGACTCATACGTGCTGATTTCAATCAGATGGGAATTTCCATGAAAGCAAATATGGCCGCGTTGCCAGATAAACAGTAATTGTATTCATAGGATTTAAACTTTTGTATGGAAGCCCATTTCCACCACCCTGATAAAAAATAAAACTTGTATCTCATAATTATTATCATTATCATATTACCTAATTTCCCTCTGGGATCAATAAAGTATTTTTGAATTGAATTTGAATTTAATTGAATTATGACTTAACTTTCTCATTATTATGAGATACTATCTCATAATTATGAGAGACTATCTCATAATTATGANATATATATGTTATCATTATCTGTTTTTCAGTCTTTTCTGCTCACTGAAGTAAACACTTGATGAAACGGTTCTGCTGTAGTTGATGAATCCATCTGTAATCCAAATCCAGGTGTCTAATCTGTCGTTAACATCCCGTTAGTCCCACCCTGGCTCAAAGGGAACGAGCTGCAGTATCATTTTCAAAACGCTGAATTCAGGCTGTTCACATGAGATTATGAGCGCTCACAAATCTCACAGGATTACTTTGTGTCTTTTTATCTGTCCTGTTACCCTGCTCCTTTATGGGAACAACAATCGAACCTGGGTGAAAATAGAAAAGAGTCACATTTTAAATGAGTTTAAGTATTGATTTGTAATCCTGACATGACAGAAAAGTAAACATGACTCAGCTTTTTTGGTTCTTCTTATGGTGTTTTAAAATCTGCACTTTGAAGGTGTTTAGCAGTTTTTGTAGGAAATGTGTTAAAGTTGTCATATTTGTTCATCTTGTTTAAGCTTTTTTTGTTTTTATAATTAGAAACAAGATATGTTGCACCTTAATGTGGCTTTCCTGGTTCAACAAAAGCAAACAAACATTAAAACGTGACCTTTAAGGAACTTCCTGTTAACAATAATGGTCTGTCGTTACAGAAACACCCTCTGTAATAATTTAATCTAAATCATTCGTGTGTGATCGTAGACGTGAGGTACAAACCGGCAGCACAGTTATCGTCCAGATGAGATAATAAAAAACAGGTTTGGCATGTTTTGTGACGTGTCGTGTATTTTCATTTACTTACAACTAGAACGAGACGAGGCTACAAAAAGAAATGCTGGAAATCAGGTTTTACAGTTGGAAACAAGTGTGCCAAATGAATCAGAATTAATAATTAGGCATAATACCATTTATTTTTTACATTTTATTTGATTTCTGGGAATCATCTGAGGACTGACACTTGAGCATTTTCTTGTTTTAACTTTAAATAAACTTGAGAAACAATAAAATAGTATAAAACAATCCTTCCATATATATATATATATATATATATATATACAGTATATTTGTGTTGATAAGCCTGAGTGGTCTGTTGACTGAATAATTGTTATGGGCAGGTTACAA